CCTCCGCTGCCTACCGTTGCCGATCAGCCTAATCCTGCTTACACTCAATGGTATGAACGTGATTAGCTCGTTCTGATGTGGATCAACCTGTCTCTTTCCGAATCTGTCATGCCAATTATCATCAATAAAGCCACTGCTCAGGAGGCCTAGGATTCTCTTGCTCGGGTCTATGCTTCCGGGTCTCCTGTGGTCATCGGCCATCTTCGCCGCTCCTTCAAGAAGCTTGCTCGCGGCAATGATTCTGCCCATGACTATCTTCAACGCGCCAAGGGTATCTTCGATCAATTAGTGGTGCTGGGGACGCTACTCACTGAAGCCGAGCTCGTCACTGTTGTCCTTGACGGTTTGGACAAAGAGTTTCGCCCTTTCACCCGCAATCTGGAGGCTCAACAGCGTCCCGTTTCATTTGAAGATTTGAGTAGTCTCTTAGTGAGCGAGGAGCTTCAGCTCCGTCGTTATCAAACTAATGGCGGTGGCCCTTCTTCTATGCATATCTTTTATGCAGGTGTCCCTGCTCGAGGACATGGTGGCGGCAGATTTCATCGGGGTCGTGGTGGCTACAGGCCGGCGGCCCATCCCCAGCTCTCTATGTATGCGAACAGGCCTGTGTCTGCGGGGCTTTTGGGCTCTGGCCCTGTCAGCCCATCTGGTCCGTTTAATCCTATTTGTCATAATTGTGGGGGAAGGGGCAACATCCGGCCCAACTATCCAAGCCCATCCTTTTCTTCTCAGTCCACCCCTGCACCTAGCCCAGCCTCTTATTTAGCCCAATCCTCCCATTCTGCTCATTCTTCTCAACAATGGTTGCTCATTCCGGCGCTAACCATCACCTTACCTCTGATTTGGACAATTTGGCTCATCACTCGGAATATAATGGCACCGACCAAGTAACTTTTGGCAATGGTAAATGTCTCCATATTTCTCATTCTGGTTCTTCTCGTGCTTCTCTCTCCAATTTTTCTTATTCCCTTGATAATATTCTCCGTGTCAAAAATGCGCCTCACAATCTTCTTTCCATTAGTTCTCTCACTCGAACTAATCCTATTTCCATTGAATTTTTTGACTCTTACTTTGTTATTAAGGAACGCCGCACGAAATCTGAACTCTATCGCGGCTCCGTGGATGGTGATCTCTATTCACTTCCGCTCTCCATCTCTCGTCCTGTGGCGCCTCGTGCTTTCTCCGCTTCTCTTGATCTATGGCATCAACGTCTTGGTCATGCAAATTTGAGAGTAATGAAATCTTTTTTTTCTCGAAATAAAATAAATTATCATGATGATTCGACTTCTCTTTGTCATGGTTGTTCTGTTAGCAAGAGTCACAAACTCCCATTTCCTACTTCCACTTATCATGCTTCTGGTCCATTGGAACTTATTGGTAGTGATCTATGGCGTCTGGCCCCTGTTCTTTCCTATGACAATCAATCTTATTATATCTTGTTTTATGATCACTATAGTAAGTTTAGTTGGATTTATTTTGTTCAATATAAATCTCAACTCCCTCAAGTCTTCATTCATTTTCGCTAGCTTGTTGAATTTTTTTTTGGTCTTCCCATTAAAATGTTCCAATCCGATTGGGGTGGCGAATTCCAAGCCCTCCAATCCTATCTTGCGCAAAATGGCATTATTCATCATTCGTCCTGTCCTTACACTCCTGAATAAAATGGGTGTGCCGAACGCAAACACCGTCACATTGTCAACAACAGCCTTGCTATGCTCCACCAAGCTCGTGTTCCTGTCAAATATTGGTCTCTTGCGTTTGATACTACGTGTTATCTTATCAATCGCACTCCCACTCCCCTTCTTCAAAACGCCTCTCCTTTCCAAACTTTGTTCCAACACTCTCCTGATATTCTTAATCTTCGAATTTTTGGTTGTTTGTGTTATCCATGGTTACGTCCTTACACATCACACAAACTTGAGCCGCGGTCAATTCCATGTGTTTTTCTTGGTTACAGAAAATTGCATAAAGGTTATCGGTGCCTCGATCCTACGACCTCTCGCATTTATGTGAGTCGTCATGTTACTTTTGATGAGTCCAAATTTTCATACTCCGACCCTACTTTCTGCTTTCCCGGCTCTCCTGATCCATTACACTTCCATTTATCACCTCCTATTTCCCTACCCACTGTTCCTATAACTCCCCTAACCCCTTCCCCACAGCCTCCCTTGTCCACTCCCTCTTTGGGCCTGCCTCCACTATCTGTTTCATCCACACCACCTCTGCATTCCAATTCCGTCCCCTCTCGTCCAATCTCCCAAGTTCCTTTAACCCAACCACACCTCCCCACAGCCCAGCCACCACCTGCTTCATCTTTACACAATCCGCAGCCCACCAACCTCCCTCGGCCCAACTCCCCGAATCTCCTAGCCCACATCAATCCTCCCACAACCCAACCTAGTCGCTCCCCATCCTCACCAGCTGCCCGCTCCCTCATCCCAACTCAACCTGCTCGACCTCTACTCCAGTACCAGCGTCGATGCACAGCTCCCCCCAGTTCCCCAAATCGCCCCACCCACACGACCCTTCCTCCTCCTTCTCCCATCCCCGATCAACCACCCTTCACCACATCTCCACGTCTTATTCCCTCAACCACTCTCACCTCCCCTGCTGTTGCTCTTCCCCGCCGGATAGTGACACGGTCTCAGACAGGCCACTTGAAGCCTCGTCATTTTCTCGCCGCCATTGCTCCGCCTCTGCCTTCCACGGTTGCCCAGGAGATGAAGTTCCCTCAGTGGCGATCGGCGATGACTGTTGAATTCGATGCCCTCATGCAGAATCATACTTGGGAGCTTGTTCCCGCTCCTCCTGGCTGCAATGTTCTTACAAATAGGTGGGTTTTTGCTATCAAAACCAATCCAGATGGCTCAATTGAGCGATATAAAGCCAGGCTAGTTGCCCGGGGTTTTCAGCAGATTGTCGGACATGATTTTTCACAAACCTTCAGTCCTGTGCTGAAGCCTGCGACCTTGCGACTGATTTTGGGGCTTGCTGTATCTAATTCTTGGCCGCTCCATCAACTCGACATCTCCAACGCATTCCTCAATGGCACATTACAGGAGGATGTCTATATGCAGCAGGCCACAGGTTTTGTTGATCCTGATTTTTCGGATTATGTATGTCGTCTTAAGAAATCAATATATGGTCTACGGCAGTCGCCTCGTGCGTGGTTCTAGTGCTTATCCCAGGCTCTCTGTGAGTTTGGTTTCTCGGCCTCAAAGACAGACCCATCCTTATTCATCTACAAGAAGGGTTCGGCTCTCATGTACATGTTGGTATATGTGGACGACCTTGTTATTACAGGTGCGGATGCATCTCTTATTCAGCAACTCATGGTCTTCCTCCTTTCGAAGTTTGCACTGCGGGATTTGGGTAAATTATCATATTTCATTGGCCTCGAAGTACACCACACCCCCGATGGTTTGATTCTCAACCAGCACAAATATATACTCGAGCTTCTACAGCGTTCTGGAATGTCAAATGCCAAGGCCATCTCTACGCCATGTACAGCTGATCAGCTCTTGCAAAGTGCCTCTGATCTATCTCCTGCATTTTCTGATCCAGGTCTATACAGGAGCATTGTTGGCGGCATCAAATACTTAAGCTTCACTCGGCCTGATCTTTCCTTTGCTGTAAATCATGTGTCCCAGTTTCAACAATCTCCGACTGATGCGCACTGGGCAGCTGTGAAACGTATTATCCGTTACTTACAAGGGACTCTGGCTCACGGTTCGATTTTTCAGCGATCTGCTCGCCTCAACTGCATGGCTATTCTGATGCCGTTTGTATCCTGTCCTCGTGATCTGGAAATCAATATCTGGATATATTGTTTTCTATGGTTCGAACTTAGTTTAGTGGTCCACTCTTAAGCAAAAGGCGGTCGCACGTTCATCTACTGAGTGTGAGTACCAGGCGCTTGCAACATTAGCATCTGAAGTAATCTGGTTACAATCCCTGCTGGTCGAGCTTGGGAAGCCCACTCAGGCATCTCCGGTTCTCTAGTGTGATAATTTGGGAGCCACTTATCTCGCACACAACCCAGTTTTCCACACCCGGTCAAAGCATCTGGAAATAGAATTCCATTTTGTTCAGGATAGAGTTAACAAACAGCAGCTGCACGTCCGCTATCTCCCTGCCACGGATCAATTAGCCAATGTTCTTACCAAACTTCTCTCATGTCTTCCTTTTCGGAATTTTTGTTCCGAGTTTCACCTCTCCGAGGTTCCACTTGCGGGGACGTGATAAGGGAGAGCTATTCTCGGAACAGCCTAACAGCTCTTTGTTGTTTTCTGTTTAACTTTCAGTTACTCACTTCTACTGAGTAGTTGCTGTGTACGTAGGAATAGCAAAGTTTGTTCATTCACTCGTGTATACAGTGGCGGATACATGCATGCTTAGGACACCCCTAAAAGTTGGAAACACGATTATTCAACCTACGATAGTAATTTTCGTATGAGAAAAAAAATATGTTTAAGTGGTAGTGGGACACCTTTAAAATTTGGAAAAATGATTATCCAATCTACTGTAGTAGTTTGCGTATTTGTACAAATAATATATAAGTAGTAGTTTATGTGATTTAAACTTGGGACACTGCCATTATTAGTTAAAATATTTTCAATTATGCTACAACTCATTTGTTATTGTGTTTTAGATCCAAATATAATAGTAAAATGTTATTCTTATCTCAAATTATTTTCCAAACCTAACGATTAAACTCAATTACGGGATATTCTTGTCGAGTAGGATATGTCGAGAGATATTTGTTGAGCAGTATAAACACCGAATGCATTTTATCATTTGACGAAACACATATGAACCTTTAATGAAACTTTTATTAGTTAGATATTTTCAAATTTAATAATTATTTAGTTTAATTATAATATTTAATTTAATTTTTTTATAGAGGACACTCCTACGTAGAATTCCTGAATCCGCAACTGCCTGTATATAATCACACACTATCAATGAGAAGAAACAGATTCTCACAATACTCTTTCAAGTATTAGCTTGAGATTTTACTGTTTCCGGAGCAACAATGAATGAATAAAGAACCCTGCTCAACTTAACCACATGTTCAATCCACAGTTGAGAGTGAGAAGCATCAGCACGAAGGGAAAAGGATGGCTGTAGGATCACATGACTTTCAATTTTCAAGTCGAGTAAAGGCGGATGAGAATCAGCCCGGACAGACAACTCCTTAGTCTTCTGCTTATACTCTTGAAGCATGAAAGCAAGTGCGCAGAAACTATTAGCAAATTTCTGAATTCTTCCATTTTCGCATAGATACTGCAAGCTGCTCAAATTACGATATCTGAACAATTGTCAAGGACACTTTAGTTATAAGAGAGCTTAAATGATATTAACATTGAATGTGTGTTCAACTTTCTTTTAAGCAATTATTTTTATTAAAAAAAAAGTTTCCGTCAAACAACCATATAACAACAGCTTATCCAAGATGCACAGCAAGAGATTCTCATGCCCTTGTGATGTTCAGCATGGACCAACTGAAGCAAAACTCGCCTTTTCACTGCATGAACAGGTCTTGAGCATAAGCAATGGGGTAAAGTTACAAAGGCTTCTATGTATTAATTTCACACATGGTCAAGGTCAAAGCACGTGAATAAAAGGTTGGAAATGCATCACATAATCGGTTCCACAAATTCAACAAAGAACATTACCCATGGCTGAACAAAAAACCATCACTATATACTTTTAAGGTAAAAGAGCCCCTGAGCATCATCAGCATCTTCCTCCTCGTGCCAAAAACCAAACAGAAACAATAGAGAGACGCATGCAACAGAACAGGTGATAAAGGATACACAGTTTCTCTTAACACGGTCAACCAAAGTGCATGAAGTTCAAAAATTTTCACCAAAGGGTTCTCATCTCTGCAATAAAAGTAGGCCATTATTATCAAGTAGACAAGAGACTTAAACATAAAACAAAATAAAGGTATCTGATGATCCAGCTAATTAAGGATATAAAGTATCACATTATGCGGCATATTTAACACAATACCTTATATCACCATAATAGGTGGCATTCTTAAGTAAAAGCACATTGATTGATGGAAGGCATAGGCCATCTAACAAATACTTTTGAAATGATTCTGACCTCGTGGATTCTCAACTAATGCTATATGAAGGATCTTCAAAGTCAAGTATTGGAGTGATATGTCTGTCCACTGCTCTTTGAGGCTCAACCTTCTAATGACACGTAACAACTCTGAAGAAGAGACAATGTCTGTGAGTATGTAGAGGAAAAAGGACCAGCATAAAAAGGTTGTTCTGGCAGAAGGAAATGCAAACACCGCTAGGAAATCAGCAATTTCTATACAACAGCTGCCGATGGAAGCCAGAGTGACAATGGTGTCTAGTTGATATAAGAGCATCATTCAACTACCCGTCTTTGTATAACTAACAGGATGAAAATTTGGCATTCTATACCATAATAAATTATATCCAAGTCCAGAAGCATATGTTCAGATTCACATGTCAAATGAGTAGCAGGCTCCTTTCAAGATTGCAGATGCATCACTTATAAGCATGACTGCAAAGCAACAGTAACCATCGGTTTTATAAAAAAAAATGGCAAGTATGGGCATCTGTTAGGAAGGATTAAGGCTTTCCATTCTTGCAGACACATAAAGAAGCACCCATGTAGGTGGGATCAATCATATTCATTTCAAAGCAACAGATATAGACAGGCCTATTGAAATGCTAAGTCTACATATCAATCTACAATTGTAAACCAACAGATATATATGCTCAGACATGTCCGGGACTGGTACAGTTTCTTAAGAAGATAGAACAAATCCAGCATGTACACACGGTTAATTTGCAAGTGCCTACTTTACCTACTAACCAATTAAGGCCACCAGCCTCCATGACAGCAACAACTGCCTTCTGACGCCAGTACACCTTTGAATCAGTAAGAACCTTTGAGCTGGAAGAGCCATCAATCGATGGTGAAAACACAGCTTTTTCATAAGCATGTGTGTTCAAATCTATAAAGTTGCACATTATTGATATCACATGAACGAGTACTTGCTGCAAGAGTAGAGTTTTCTCTAAAATCGGGTCCGATAAGTTTTCCTCGCCAGAGAGTGCACCTGCTATTCCTTTTAGTTGAACAACACCTCTTTTTTTTTTTTTTTTTTTTTTTTTTTTGTGGGAGACGGGATGGGGTCAATCTTAGTTAGCAATGACAAAAGGTCCATTCGCTGAAATTTACAATTAACAAGATAGCAAGAGTACCTTTCAGTAATGCAGTTAGCTTTTGGACACCACTATAGAAACCAAAAACTCTGCAATTGTGCATTGAACGGGTTATTATAGTTAATGCATCCAGCACAGGCAACCCTTCAGCAGAGACATTCCAACTTGGCCACTGTGATACGTCTATTCCACCATGTGTACCACTGGGGTTTACTGGAGTGACAATGAGGAAAAAAGTGAATGACATGCTTCAAGCATCAGATTTTACTACGGTACAGTTAAGCAATGCATAAGTTCCCGAAAAAAGGGAATGTTGAGACTGTGCAGAGAATCAAAACATCATGCACTTAATAAACGATCCTGAAAGGCTCTTTTTGGGTTGGTTTTTACAAGGACCCTTTGTTCGAGTATCCACAGACAATTAGAGTAATAATAAGCAAACATAGTCAGCTCGTACAAGCATCAGATATCCTATTTCACGGTCAATTTGCTAGCTCTACATAGCAAAACACGTCACCATTTCATTTCTTGTCTTGATAATGGATGCACATAAATAGTTTAAGAACTTGAAAGACTAATCTTGCCCTCTTCAAATTTTCCATTTTATAGAGGCTGTTATTAAAATCTCCAAAATAATATCAGTCTCATGAACTTCATTGATGGCATTCCGAGTTATTTTTTAGCAGACGATGGTAGAAATATATAAATGGGTCTTTTACTACTATACGAAAGCTGGAAGAGAGTAAAAAAATCAACTTACAATCTGCGATCAGGGTAGTTATATGCCCAATCTCCTCAATCAGAGTCAGAATTATCTCAACCGGGTGCCCAACAAAGCAACTAACAACCACATCAGCACGGCATAAGGGAGACTCTGTTGCATTAGTTGTAGGAGTAGTCTCTATGAACGGACCGGCATTTACAGGTACCCAACTCTTGAATGCAGCAACAAATTGCTTAAGGAAAACATGGAACAGCTTTCTCTTTTCAACCTACAAGCATTGCAATGAAGAATAAACAAAATCAAATCAGAAACGGAAAAGATATGGAATGTATATAAACAACTTTCAGAACTAAGGTATACACCAAAGGGAAAAGGAGGTGTCAAATAACAGCATACAGCAATTGACTTCCTTCCATATCACTCTTAGCAATACATATGATTGAGTACAATCATGACACAGACTACACTTACTCTTTACATCCATAGACTACAAGCTGGAAGAGAACCAATCATGCAAGCTTCTCCATAATTTATGAACCCAAACTTCCTCCATATAGACAGTCTACCAGCTACTCAAGCCAAAGGACAATAGGAAAAGGAAAAGATGGCTCCTTTCTCACACAAACCCTCTTAGTTTTGCTAGATAATGATTTCAAAGACAAGCATAACCACTATTTGACTTTTCATTTTTCAAACCAGAACCCATGAAAATACAGTGTATGGAATAAGATGGTTTCAGAAAAAACAACTGAATATTCAATCAAAAGTGAGATTAAAAAGCACGTTAGGAATTCAGACCTGTACCTTATCAGTTATGCTCTCGTGTTTCTCCCATAAGGTATGCAAAATTGCTTCATCACCTTCCTCACTAATAACAAGATCAAAGGATAAAGCTTCAGTTAATACATAGTGCGAAAAACAAATTAAGAAAAAGTCTACTTGAGATAAAGGAAACCAGCAAGTGATCAATAAACCCATAAAATACAGAACAGCAGGCAGACTACAAAGAGAACAGAAACACATCTGATACCAAAAAAAAAAAAAAATAGTTCAATTACAATCCAGAAACTAAAACTGGTAGAATCGCTTCAAAGGTTAGGAGACTAGAGAATTTATAGACAAAGGGAAAGAAATCCAGTTGACTGAGTAACAATAACAAAAACCTTCAATATCTTTTGAAACCTAAGTAACTGCCAAACTTGCTTCATCATAAATGGAATGGCTATGCCTTATCTTCCAGGAAACCTGTATTGATATCAAAACCACCTAAAACTAGAAGTCTAAAGCAATTGACCAAAGAGAAAACTAATACCCCTCGCACTAGGGTCACTTCCCCACTTACTGAATCAAGTGTGGTAAAAATTTATCTTGGATAGACTGAATCCAGGTAGTTTCGGGGATATAAAGTTATAAAAGAGCTCATTAGGCTAGGAGAAGTTAACCAGTAGAGGGCGGACCCCCATGTAACAGGGATTTTATTTGAGTCCTATACACCAGGTCCAACTGAATTTCGCTCGCTAGTAAGACTAGAAAGCATGAAAGTAGGTTGACTTGGTTTTGTGAAAGAAGAGAGCTGCAATGTTATTTTATGATCCATGTGCATATGAAAAGCACCTAGAACTGCTAATTCCCTGAATATGCTAATCATGACACTGTTTTTTGGTATAGTTATTTATTGATGCCCTATGTAAAACCTTGCATTGATGCCCCTTTCCATCCTAACCCCTTCAGAATTTCCTTCTTATGATGTCTCTGAAAGAGCATTTCTTCTACAGGCCCTGACCAAATATAACTCATATGGTCTTCCATTCTACTCCTTAGGAAAGCAACAAGATTTAGCCCCATCTAACTTCCAGGAATATTCGAACTTCCTAACCCTCCCAGTTATGAGAGACAAGAACTTGTTCAAAAAGAAAAACACCACTCTCAGCCTAGCTTCCAAGAATTCCAACTCCCAAATTCAAGTACAGCATGAATATGAGGAAACTACAACAAATGGTATGCAAATCAGGAAGCTTCTGAACGGACTTAACTTCCATGTGACAAGAGCACTACTAACCTGAAGCAGATTTTAGGAGCCGGAGCTGGAAACTTCTCTGTAGTTGAGCGGGTACTAGATTCTCCAGATTGGATATTAGATGTTCTTCGGATAAGGTCAGCCACGCCCTTGACTATGTTCATGCTTCCCAATAGTGTTTTAAAAGAAGTTGAAGAATCTGTAGTGCATCATAAGAACAAGGTGGTCATCCCTTGCCATCGCTTTTACGCGGAGCTCAATGCTCCATTTCCATTGACATGCTACCCAAGAGTTTGAACACTGTGAATTGGAAAGAATAATCGCTTAAGTCCAGGATTCTTGGAGAAAATCACATTGCATTAACTTCCCTCTGTTTGGCTGGTCCCCAGAGGAATAAAAGAAAACGAAAGGAGTATCCACTTATACGAAGTAGCTTCCCACTTTTACGCAACTACTATACTAGTTGAGAAACATAAATTTCAGAGCAACAGAACTTCCACCATAAGTTTTCACGGAGGGGCAGCTCTTAAAACTGCCGGCCGGTCATCGGGAAACCCAATGAGAATCCAGAATTTCAAAGGTAGAACGAAGGCACGCTACTTTTTGGATTAAAGAAGAGAGAAATCGAGTGATTGTTGATGACGCAAAATGACCTGATCAGGTCACCGAGGGAGTCAAAAACTTCCGCCGGAGTTAGGGTTTTTGATAGGGGAACCGAGCAGTGAATGAATGCTTTTGAAGCTCTGCGTAAATGGCGTTGAGTGAAGAAGAGGCAAACAGAAGTGACCTCCCAAATTTTTTTTTTTTTTTTTACCCAAGATAAGCCCCCAGGGCATGGCCAGTCAACACAAATACAAGAAAGACACTAAAAGAGAACGGTAATCCGTATGCAACCGGACTCCCGATAAAAGAGCCTGTTTTGCCACGAGGTGGGCAGCTCTGTTGAAGCTCCGAGGAGCAAAAAGACACGAGACAGATAGGAAGGAGGCAAGGAGAGAGTGAACTTCCTCTAAAATTGCTCCCGCTCTTGAATGTGAAGCCTTCTTTGATGTCACATCCTTGATGACCAATTGAGAGTCCCCACAAAAGACAACAGTCAAGAAATTGTGGGCAAGACACCATTTCATAGCATCACGAATAGCAAGTAGTTCTGATATATAGGCATCTGAGATGCCCTGATAGAATTTACCAACAGCAAATGTGATATTTCCATCACCTGAAAAGCCCACGAAGCCGGTTGCACATCCTTGAGGGTTTTTTGTTGCCCCGTCAAAACGAACCAGGATACCTTCACTAGGGAAAGAGACATCTGTTCTTCTCGAATGGGGACCTTGGCCTGTGGAAGAGTGGGGTATTGACCTACGGACTTCCTCAGATCTCTGAACCTTCTGTGCCTCTGCCATTTTCCATTCTTCCACCTGCGCTAAAAGTTGCCTGTATAGAACATGTGACCTGTATAAAACGTGTCCATAGGTAGCCTTACATCTGCCTTTCCATATTCTCCAAAATAAGAAGACAATGAAAGCTACGTCATTCTTGGTAATATGGGGTGTGAAAAAGAGGTTTCTCCACGCAAGATCCATAGGAGTTGCCCTCATCATATCTCTTATGTGATCAAGGTCGGATAGTGTCCACAGTTCTCTTGTAATTCTGCAGTCGAAGAAGCAATGCTTGAAGTCTTCATTTGCTTCGCAGCAAACAGGACATGCACTTGAGGAAATAATTTTCTTATGTAGGAGGGTTCCTCTAACTGGTAAAAATCCACGCACCAATCTCCAAAGAAAGAATTTGAGTTTAGGAGGAATTGGAATATTCCACAGGGATTTCCAAAACTTGGTGTTCAAAAATTCTGGCAGGGAGACCCTGGATGAAGTTAAATTGTCCGAAAGGAGGTGGTACCCTGATTTAACTGTATAATGACCAGACTTGTCATAGTGCCAAATCAATTTATCTTCTTGAACAGAAGATGGGAGAGGGATGGATAAGATTTTGTCAATCGTGTCAGGAGGAAACAAAGATTTAAGCAAGTCTAGGTTCCACTCCATAGCATTAGAGTCCGGAAGGAAAGAGACCATTGGGTGATTTAGAGAGGCACCCATTAACAACAGAGGGCTAGATGGAGGGTCTGTTGGTAACCAAGGGTCGAGTAAGGTATTTATCCTAGATCCTGATCCTACTTGCCAGCGAAGACCTTTTTTCAGAAGATCTCTACCCTGCAATATACCTTGCCAGGCCCAAGACGGGCGAGACCCCTGACGGGCTAGGAGGAAATGATCAGTAAAATGATATCTTGCCTTATACATCCTGGCAAGAGTACTTTCCGGATCACAAATAAGTCTCCAAGCTTGCTTGGCTAGCATTGCAACATTGAACCTATCAAAGTCTCTAAATCCCAATCCTCCTTCAAATTTGCTGAAGCAACATTCAGACCATGATAACCAATGTATACCTTTTTCTTTGTCTTGGCCTGCCCACCAAAAAGTGGAGATTTGTCCATTCATCCTTCTACACAATTCAGATGTGAGTCTAAAACAGGACATCGCAAAGATGGGGGTTGCTGTCCCAACTGCTTTGATGACTACTTCTTTGGCTGCCAAAGACATGTTTTTTGACTTCCACTGACGTATTCGGTTTGCTAACGAGTCTTCTATATAACGAAAAGTTTGGATTTTAGATCTATGAACTTGAGATGGAAGGCCAAGATATCTATCATGAACACCAATTGCTGACACACCAAGTAAACCAGCTAGGCGAGTAGCTTCCAAATCAGAGACATTAGCACTGAATGAAACAGCTGATTTCTGAAGATTAACTCGTTGCCCACTCACTACTTCATATTCTTGAAGTATTTCAGTTAGACGGGCACATTCAGTAGAGGAGGCACGGAGGAAAAGGTAGGAATCATCCGCAAAGAATAGGTGAGAGATCAGAGGAGCTTCTCTATGAATACGCAACCCGTGTAGGCTAAAGTTTCTAATGGAATTCTCTATAAGGGAGGAAAGAGCTTCAGTGTATATAGCGAATAAGAGAGGGGAGAGAGGGTCCCCTTGACGTAAGCCTCTTTGGGGGTGGAAATAACCATGGATAGACCCGTTTAAGACAATGGAGAATGATACAGTTGTAACACATGATCTGAGCCATTTGAGCCATTTATCTCCAAAACCGAGGCCTTTAAGTAATTCAAACAAGAGAGGCCATTCAACTCTGTCATAAGCCTTTTCCATGTCTAGCTTTAAAGCCATCCATTTTTCCTTTCCTTGAGTTTTGGTTTTGAGAAATTGCATCACTTCTTGCCCAATTAGAATGTTCTCTGTGATAGATCTATCTTTCACAAAGCCATTTTGGTTGGGACCCACAATGAGAGGAAGGAACCGGCTCAACCTATCTGCTAGAATTTTAGCAATGATCTTGTAGAATACTTGGCAGAGACCAATGGGCCTCATTTGTTTCATGGTTTCAGCATTTGGAGTCTTGGGTATAAGCGTGATCAGCGTATGATGGAAGTTATGCAACAATCTTCCCGTATTAAAGAAGGAAAGGGCAGCATCACAAAGGGATTCCCCAACCACCTCCCAAAACGCTTGAAAGAAGATACCAGTAAACCCGTCTATCCCCGAGAATTGGTAGGCCCCGATCGAAAAGGTAGCGTCTTTTATCTCTTTTCTTGTAACTGCTGCAGAAAGGCAAGTATTCATATGATCGTTCACTCTAGTCTGGAGTCCCAAGCTCAAAATGAAATCATGAACTAAAGGTTGGGTAGATAGGAAGAGTCCCATAAAGTATGATACTGCCACTTTGGCTTTAGCTCCTTCCTCTAAATGAACTAAGCCGTTGTCATCCTTGAGGGAAAGAATTGTATTCACTCTTCTCTTCTGGTTTGTAATGGAATGAAAGAAATGGGTATTAGACTCCCCTTCCTGAAGGTACTTAACTCGAGATTTTTGTTTCCAGTAAATCTCTTCTTGTAAGTAGGAAGACGATAACAATCGTTCAAGCCCCTTAATCACTTCCCAATCAACAGTTGGAGCATTTCTGGCTGTATCAATGTCTAGGCAAAGTTCTTTTATTTTCCTAGAAGAATTGGAAGTACCCTTTTTCATCCATTCAACAAGGTTATGCCTTGAAGACCTGAGGTTCTCGAAAAATTTGAATTGCCTTGTACCAGAGGTTTGGTTACTCCATTTGTCAGCAAGAACTTGTCTTGCTTCCGAATTTTTAACCCAACGGCTATCGAAATGGAAGCGATGTTGGCACAAATTATGGGGCGGGATGAGTTGCAACACAATCTTTCGGTGGTCCGAACCTAGGTCTGATAGGTGAGTGACCTTGGCAAGAGGCCAAAGGTTTAAAGCCGATGGGGCAATTAGAACTCTGTCCAGTCTAGCCATAATATGATCCGAAGCCGATCTGCGATTTGTCCAGGTGAAGTTAGGGCCATTAAAGCCTAGATCTTGCAGACCTGACTGGAGACAAAAATTTCTTAGTTGATCTAGAGCAGAAAGGGCAGGGCATCTGCCTCCTGATTTTTCAGAGCTGTCAAGGATACAATTGAAGTCCCCAAGAATAAATAAAGGAAGAGGTATAGTTCGAATTATGACGGATAATTCATTGAGTTGATTTTGTCTAGTCCCAACTTCACAACTGAGGTGAATAAATAAGAAGTGAGCTCTTCCGAGTCTTGGGTGATGACATTCTAAAGAAATGTAGAAGCGATGTTTGTCTCGAATAATACAATCTACATCCGATGCCCATCCCACCGCTAAACCTCCAGATAGGCCAATAGCACTGACGAGATGATTTTCTTTAAAACCAAGATTTTTAATTTTGTCTCTGACCAAATCATCTTCGTTTTTTGTTTCACTTAGAAACAACAAGTAAATTGAGTAACGCCTTACCGATTCAGCCAGTTGCCTATTAGTTGTTATAGGGCCAATCCCTTGACAGTTCCAGAAGAGGATTCCCATTACCGCAACCACAATATGCCAAGAGAAATTATTAACTTAAGAGAGTTAAGAATAGAACCCAGATTAAACCGATAGATCAGCCCGAAAAAAGGAGATGATCATTCATTGAGACAATGCAATATTCCTTTCTCCATGTAAGGATTTGTGCTAACAGTACTATATTATAAGTACTACAGAGATGACAAGCATCTAGTAATTCGATCACAGAGGTGATATAAGATAGGCCGAATGAAATCCAACAACTGCTGTGGTTAGCTATCCAGTCGAATTACCCAACCTTAGACAGAAAATACACACGACAGAGCCACACATCTACTCAAAGATACACAGGGAAGCCAATCAAGATGGAAGAACAATTAACAACTCTATTTAAGCCAAACCCATACCTGATACAAGAGGAAAGGCAATCAATCTTTGGTATGGGAATATACATAAAATAAAAATCGACATAAATCAGGCAAGCGAGGATAGAAGAGAATCGGATGGAGTATCGGATGGAGAAAGGGGGACGGAATGCAAGAAAGGAAAGAGGTTAGAATCTGGCTAGAAAGCCAAAATTTCGGGAGGGTCGGAAAAGGGGGCAGGGGAGCGACCTTCTTCCCCGGTGAAAATCCCTAGACCTTTTCCAACGTCGCCCGCTTTTCGCACTTCGCAGAACTAGTAGTATCGCAGCCGTCCGAAAACAATAGCGGGAGGGAAGCAGCGGACGCCGAGGATCTTAGGAGGCGGGTGATCTCGATGAAGAAGAAGAGTTATAGGCAAAAACTATTTAGTTTCCAAGGAAAGGATAGAGGGAGCATCCGAGCAGTGGAGATTTCACCGGATTAATCTATTACTTTTGTGTTCGAGGAGCAGCTTTTTGGCTTAGGAGAATAAAAGAGAAAGAAGAGATTGAATTAGCTGGGGGAATAATTGGACGAGATCGTAGCTGGGAATGCGAGCTACAGAGGGAGAGAAAACAAAGGAGTTGCTAGCTTTAAATCAAGCAGAACTGGCCCAGGAGTCGAATGGGCCTAAACTTAGCCCACACTAAAAGAGAGGGACGTCAAAGCACTAGATTGGGGTCGTCTTAGAAGATGGGTGGGCCAAGAAATTGAAAAAAAGACCTTTTTAGCATAATGGGAGTCTCACAACCCGAACCTCACGCATAAATGCAAATACCAAAAATCCCATCGCGCCAATCCAAGATATAGAAGTAATATATCGTCTCGTATTAACATGAGCTGATGTCGCCCCCGTCACCAGAAGATGGGTTGTGGCAGTGGACAGGTGGCAACGGCGACGCCACAGATGTCGAGTACTTCTACAGGGGGCTTTGCCGGCTTGTGGAAGACAACGATCGGTCTGAAGGGAGAAAGAGAAGAAGTAGAGGCGGCTTCCTTCCTCCAGTCAACATTTGATGAATGACCTGCGGGCGACGACAGGCTGCGATGGCGGTGGGTTGCCTTCCTTTTCATAAACCTGGTTTGCAGATCGATGCTGGAGGAGGATCGGGAGAGAAGAGGTTTTGATCGCTTCCAGTCCTCCGCCTTCGCTAGCGAGGCCGCCGGGACGAAATTTGAAGGGGTCAATGGGGGAAGCATCGTCTCTCATCGAATTCAGAAATCAACTCCTTCTGCGACGATTCGTTGCTGCTCCTTCATTGGTAGGGTTTTGAAAAAGTTGTAAATTCCGAGTGGTCTGTTGCTTAGTATCTCTCCCAGCTCCAGTTGTACTTATTCCCATTTCTGGCACTATGAAGAAATACCATTTTGGTTGAGCTAATTGTCAGATGCCATAGTCTCGAAGCAAATAGAAATGACAAGGGACAAGATGGGGTGATTAAGGGAACCCATTAATCACTTTGCCTTTATTTCATGTTGAATCCAAGAAAGAAACCGCCTCTTATCATACAGGGAGTCTCACCATTCACAATCCTATCAACACACCCGAGTACATTAACCAAGGGGATCTGCCTTTGTCTTTACCCAAACAACAGACATGGACATGAAACTGTAAAATATTGTTTATAAGACTGCTCAGAGTATGGTTCCGACAGATTAACATTCACCACTCTAGAGTAGAACTTATGACAACATTGAAGCTTACTCAATTTCTACAGAAGTATCACACTATCCTGGATACATGGGGTTCTTCCCCTCGCCCAAACTGGATCGGCAAAACAGCCTGAGTTCACCAAAACATTATTATCAGAATGCAAATGATGTAACATAGATTTTAGTTTTATTAATTGTAGTATCCGCTAAGGCACACTGATAAATAGGTATCGAGATGAAAACAAAGGGGTCTTCTTTTATTCATTCATGACAAGGGAGGTAAAAATTCCAAAGTGGAAGCAATAGGCGAAACGTAAAACCACAAAAACACTACAGGCTCACAATCAGGAAAAGGAAAGCTTAAATTCAATGTAAAGACCCCTTTGACAGTTTCTTTTCCATACAGATCAGCCACTTCCTGGATTGGCTGAGTCATCAGTGAGAGCATTCAAAGACTTGGAGGTTAGATCTTCAGGCTCCTCAATGAATAGAGCTCTATTGATACGAGGAAAAGGCTTTTTTACCTCCTGTCTCTTGTAGACCATTGGATCTTTCCCTTTTCGTTTGCGGCTTTCCTGCGCTTCTAGGCGAGTCAGAGAGTTTGGAGATATCCTTGGGTAGAGGTTCTTAGGAAGAATAAAGGGACCCCTCGATGGTTGAATCTGCAGCGAGTTGCTTTCCAAAGACTTATACAAATCAGTAGGGATCTTCGAGACATCTAGCTGCACATCAAGGTTCTGGTTAGAAGCCATTAAAGATGGAACCATCACTGCAACTTCATCGGATCCGTCCTTCTCAAGAAATGACCCCTGAGATGAGTCATCAGGTAGTTCTACTAGGCTGACTCTGCTTCTTGAGGACTGAGGGAGCCTCACATTATCCTCTTGACTTAGGGACCTGATATTTGAAATTGCAACAGCCAGGAGAGGAGGCGCTGCAGGCTTTGAATTAGCCAGCTTGCCAAGATACAGCTGGTCACTACTGTTGGAACCGAGAAGATTAGGATTAACCCACACATTTTGTGGGAGCCTTCTGTTTGCAGCAATCCTTTAATTTTGCACGTTTTGGTAAAACAAGTTTGAACTAATAACGAAATGGTCAATCCATTCCATTCCGTCTAAAACTCCATTACCTGTTGCCCAGTCAGCATGACACATCATTAGAAATATTAGTTAAAATATAAGTTAATCACCCCTAATCACTATAAACTAGCACAACCTAACCGATTACCCACCCCTACCCCAACTGGAGAAAGCTAACCAGCAACCCTTCTTCTTTCAAGCTCATCGATCTTAGGAAGATGCAGCACCATGTTGTACTTCTTGGCAATCAAATCGTGCCTGCTCTTCAACTCCATTGCGGCCAACAACCCCTGCCAAAAACCTCCACCCGTCGGAGTAGAACCTGAACACATTCTGTCCTTTTTTTCAACAACATAACAGCGAATCATCTCCTTCCTCGACCCCAACAGGCTGAAAATCTTATCAAAGATGGAATCTTTGATAGCGAATTTCGCCGCTCACGCCAGGGCAATGTTCTCGCTCTCGTGCTTACCATTGAAGTAATTAATAACGAACATAATCTAGAATGATAGACACACAATCTCCACGGCAAACAATTGCTTCTTCCAGGAACACTATCGGTATGCTGCTTCGAATTCAGATCTAGGGTTTCCTTCTCGTCGCTACTAGCACCACCAGGCTTCGGAGTCATCGGAGTATCTGTAGCAGTCGGAAGGCCTTCGAACTCGTCTTTGTCCCATTCCGTAAAGCTGGCGGTCGTAGTAGTGGCTAGATTCGACGAATCGGGTCTCGATTCGGAAGCATCTGAATCCGTAATAGCAGAACAAGGGGTTGAATGGGGCGATTGGAACTAGAATCTGGAGTGGTGTATGCAGGTGGGGAGTCGTCAGTCACCGTCAAGGGAAGATCAACGAGCTTGAAAGAAGAAGGGTCGAGGGAATACCATTCTCCCAATCTTCAGCCGTAAACTCGGGAAGGGTCGTTGGCTTTCCCCAATTCGGGAAGGGGGTAGGTAATTTGGCTGGTTACGACCGGTTGGGTTGTGTGGGTTAAGTGGGGTGATAAACTGATTTTTTAACTGATATTTTAATGACGTGTCATGCTGACTGGGCAACAGGTAACAGAGTTTTGGACGGAATTGGACGGATTGACCATTTCGTTATTAGTTCAAACTTGTTTTACCAAAACGTGCAAAATTAAAGGATTGTGACCGTTTTGTACAAAGTGAATAGGTTTATGACCATTTATGATAATTACCCGAGAAAAATGGTGAATAATCAATGACGGTGGTTTTAATTTTGAAACGTTAAGGCCCTGATAACGAACTTAATTACATGATTGCCCTCAACCCACATAATGGATTTCATCATTAATATAGTCAAACCTTTCATTTTAAACAAAATAATAATCAACATTTTCAAAAATAAAATAATAGCCAAACCGTCAACTTTCCGTCTAGTCAACTGTTAGTTGATTCTGACGTGAAAACTTTTTACTGAGATGTAATGACATGACACAAAATCAAACATTTAACTCTACCACATAGATAATTATAAAATTTAAATCATTATTGTATTCTCATGGAAAAAATTTATCTATCTTCTTCCCCTCTCTCCCCTCTCTCACTACAGAAACTCGCCACAGTGAAAGGCAACCTCATTGCCGACTTCTCCGAGTTGCCATAGCAGTTGAGGAAGTCCTGGCGGCGAGCTCCAGATCTATTTTCCTTTCATCCTGATTTGTTACTTCTTCTTCTACTTCTCGTCCCTCCTCTGGAATCAAAATTTTGGATGGCGAAATCCTCCTCTTCGACTTGAGAGCATTGACAGCGACAAGGGTTTTTAGGTGGAGTCCGCCGACAGTAACCTCCAACGACCTCCGACTATGGGTTCTCCTGGGCTTCTAGAGTAGAATGAGGCGTTGATGGGTTCTTCTAAGGCATGTAAATTTTATTGGTTTTTGAGTTATTCTACAGAAAATCATTGGCCAAATCTAGGTGTTGCTGGATCCACTACAATGTCGCCGCCACACATCTTTTTCCGCCTCTCCTCCGCCTTGACCTCCCCCCAACCCCGCCAGCAAGATCGGAATTGAACAGTGCTAATTAACAATCTCGTCGGAAGAGGAATTAGCCCATGTGAACTTCGATATGTTCATCGAAACACTATCCCCTCCTTGGAACCGTCAATGACACAAAGGGGCGACAAGAAAAAGAAAATATTATCTTCCCCTTTCATCCTCCGCTGCTTCGATCTCTCTCTCACATTCCAAATTTTCCTTTGGTTTGCTTGTTCTGCTTCCCAATTGGGACGATTTTTTGGGCAAAGGAACAGTTCTTTCTTCCTTGCTCCGGAGGAAGATGGTGAGTGAACTGTGAAAGGGTAAGTCCAACCAGATCTGACTTCTTTCTTGCTTGAGAGACTTGTTCTAAGAACATAAGGCAAGAATGGGGAAGGAAAGTGGCAAGACGCTTGTTTTCTTCCATTTGGTTTGCTTTCAGGTTTTGGTAGGGAGTGTTTCGACGAGGGACTTCGTGGGGAATATGAGGGTTTGGTAGGGGCGGCGGTTATGGCGGTGGGTGCAGGTTTGGTGGAGGGGCTGGAGAAGATGAATGGGTTTGGTAAGGGCGACGGTATTGGCGGTGGGGCTGGCGATGGGATTGGGTTTGGTGGAGGAGCTGGTGGGGTCGGAGGGTGTGGCGATGGTGGCGGGTTAGGAGGTTGAGCTGGAGCTCGCGGTTGTGGACTGGGTGGTAGCTTGGCGGGACCTGGGATAGGTAAGGGATAGGAAATCGGTGGCAAGATTGAGAATGGTAGAGCAACGGAACAGAGGTGGTGGGATCGTAAAATATGGAGGGTTTTGGTGGAGGATTTGGGCGATGCTGGTGGGGGAATTGGGAAAGGTGGAGTAGGTGGCAATTACTAGGTGGGTAGTTTTTTTTCTTATAAATAAATTTCCATGTGGCAAGTGCTAATGTTTGAAGTTCTTGCCACGTCATAAAAAATCATCCAACTCAGCAATAGGTTTGCCACGTCCTTTGTCACGTCATAGTCAACTAACTGGTGACTGGACGGAAAGTTGACGGTATGACTATTGTTTTGTTTTTGAAAAGGTTTGGCTATTATTTTGTTTAAACGAAAAAGTTTGGCTATTAAATTGTATTAAACAAACTATCATGGACTTTATACGGGTAAAATATCTCGTGCATTCCGTTAAAGTTGATAGAATATTCTTGTAATATTCCATTATCTTAATTTTAGGATTGATCCTTCTACTTTTTTATCATAAACAATCATTTTGACTTATGAAAACATCATTTTTCTATTGTTTAGTTGGAATAAAAAATAATCCTTTGGACTTATCAATCCTGTGTTGAAGAATCTCATACTAAACTTATTTTTTAATATAAAATATATAATTAATTTTCATTGTAAGTATTTTAATTATCATTATGTTCTAATAATTGAATTATTCATTAAATCAAATATATTCTATACATTATGTCTCGATATAAATAATCTGAGAATGTTATATTTAGTTTTCTTACATGTTAGTCTTTATCTAATTTTTCATGTTAAATCTCATTGTAATTCTTTAATATAATATTAAAACGTGTTCCATATTAGTTAAATTTAATAATTCTAATTCTCTTCCTAAAGTCTTATTTTATTTTCTAGATTTTTTACTGAATGTTGTAGCTTTTATAGTTTACTTATTACTTAGTTAGTTTTCCTCTATTTTGTTCTAAATTATTTTCTATTATTGGAATATGTTTAATTATTTTTTATTGTGTTCTTTTTATTCTTCTTTGGTCTTGATTTATTCATGGTCGATTAGTATCTATATTATCTATTTTTAGTGGTGCTTCTAATGGGATTAGAGGTTTAAATTGATCTTCTAATGTTAATTTTAAATATTTATT